GGGACAGGGAAGAGAGGGGGGAAAGAGGAGAATGAGGGGGACGAAGAAGTGAGGAAAGGGGGAGTGGGTTGAACTGTGTTCCCCTCAAGAAGAAATGTCTAAGTTCTAACCCCCTGGTCCCTGTGAATGTGACCTTATGTGGAAATAGGGTCTTTGCAGATATGATTAGGCTAAAGATCTTTTTTTTTTTTTTTTTTTTTTTGCGGTACGCGGGCCTCTCGCTGTCGTGGCCTCTCCCGTTGCGGAGCGCAGGCTCAGCGGCCATGGCTCACGGGCCCAGCCGCTCCGCAGCGTGTGGGATCTTCCCGGACCGGGGCACGAACCCACGTCCCCTGCATCGGCAGGCGGACTCTCAACCACTGCGCCACCAGGGAAGCCCGGCTAAGGATCTTGAGATGCGATTCTCCTGGATTTAGGGTGGGCCCTAAATCCAATGGCAGGTGTCCTTATGAGAGAAAGGAGAGAAGCATTCCACACAGACCCAGAGGCCTGTAGATGCGTCTACAAGCCGAAGACGGCTGTGGATGGTCAGCAACCACTGGAAGCTGGGAGAGAGCCATTTGAGCAGGTTTTCCCTCAGGGCCTCTGGAACGAATCAACCCTACCAACACCTTGGTTTTGGAATTCTGGTTCTGAACTTCTAAGATAATACATTTCTGTTGTTTTAAGCCATTCAGTTCGTGGTAATTTGGTACAATGGCCACGGGAAGTTCAGACAGAGGGAGAGGATGAGGGAAAGAAGAGGAAAAGGAGGAAGGAGAAGGGGGAGGGCCGCAGAGGCTTCTAAAGGGCTAAGTCTAGAGGCATTGAAAGGTCAAGAAAGATTGAAGTGGGAGAGATGCTCCATGTGCCTGGAAGGTGAGGGACAGGAGGCCGTGATGGGGGATGAACCTGGGGATCGGCAGGGCCAGTCTGTGAAGGACTTTGAATGTCACACCAGTGGGTTAGGGGTTGATGAACTACAGCCTGAGGCCGGATCTGGCCCTCTGCCTGTTATTGTAAATAAAGTTTTATTGGAAGATAGACATACCCGTTCATTTATACCTTGTCTCCTTTTCAGCTGTGATGGTAGAGTTGAGTAATTGCCACAGAGACCATCTAGCTGTCAAAACTTAATGTGTGGCCCTTTGTAGAAACGCTGCTGACCACTGCAAGAAGATATTCTTCCAGTCTCAAGAATTCCACAGTGCCCCCGGCCACCTCCACCAGATAAGAGGGGCAGAAGTCAGCACCGCCCCAAGTTGGTGTTGCCAGGACTCTCATTGCTGACCCCACTTCTGCTCCAGGTGGGTGGCCACTACTTCTGGTTTTATTCACCTTTGCCTCCCCAGCCTGCCGCCTGGCCCAGAGTAAGCACTCAGCAATGATTCACTGAGGGACTGAATGGCCCATGAATGGACAAGGGAAGATATCTGTGTCCCTCCCAGGCCAGAAGATCCACACTGGTTTACCCACTGAAATGGTCCCTTCTTTGCCCATCTTCCTCTCCCCTTCCCCCCCACCCCCCACCGGGACTCACAATTTCCCTGCAGAGGGTCATCAGTGGGACAGGTGCAGAGATGATCTCTTTCTTTCCAGGGTCTGATCCTCCAGTACAAAGTGACTTCCTCCTGACTGGGTCTCCTTGGACTTTGAGGACCCCCAAACTCTGGGGGGCTTTCCTCTCTCAGGAGGAGTGAGCGGGCATCTGGGCTTAGCATCCCTTCAAATTGGGAGACCCTCTTGGATTTTTCCACTGAGGCTGGGGAAGGTCCAAGCCTTAGATTATGAGGGTCCCTGTGAGAGTGGGAAGCTGTAGGGAGGGACCTGGGTCTCTGCCATGAGAAATGAGGGAGGCCCAGCACTGGCCTTGGTCTGGATCACCGACCTGGCCCCGGATCTGGGCCGTATTGCTCTGTAGCACTGAACAAGCCAGTTTGCCTCTCTGGACTCCAGCCTCCTCAAAAAAATGATCCTTGGACCACCTGCGTCAGACTCACTTGGGAGAGCTTGCTAGAATAGATTCCTGGCCTCCACCCTAGACTGGAGGCAGAGTCTTAGGTGCCAGGCCTGGAATGCTGCCTCTTCACAAGATCCCTAGGGGATTGGGATCCTGAGGTAACGCTTTGCAGTCAACCTCCAGGAGCCCCTCTGTGAAGCCCTTTAAGTGGAGACAAAGAGGAGTTAATTCCTCTGTTGTTACTATTGGGACAGGGGAGGGCCCTGGATGCACCTCTTCTGTCCTGTTGCCCATTCCCTGAGGGCTCCTGCATGCTGTGTGTGTGTGTATCTGTGAGTGTGTGTGTGTGTTTGGTGGGGAACAGGACAGAGGTGGAGAGGCATCAGCTGGGCCACCAGCACTGGTGGGGGTGGGGCCTCCTGGGGGGCAGTGAGAGGTGGAGGTGGTGAGTAGGTCCTGCCCTGCTTGGCACGGACACCCCTCTGCAGGGAGGAAGCTTCTGCCATGGAAAATGCCCACGAGTGACATCACCGAGGCTTTTGCGCAAGCAGCTTCTTGTGGAATCGGTCGTGGCATGTCGGAGCGGGGAGGGCCCTTAGGAATTTTCTAGCTCTGCTCTTTCGTGTTCCAGATGAGGAAACGAAGGCCCAGCCAGGGCAGCGGCTTGCCTGAGGTCCTCCAGTGCATCGGTGTCAGACCAGGTCTTAGAGGCCAGGTTTCTGGAATCCCAGCTTCCTGCCCTCCCCGCCCAGCCTAGCATCTCACAGAGTCCAGCTCTTTGCAGTTTGTGCAAGTTACCTTTATAGTTTATGACATGCTGGCATCTCACCTGCATTATTATTTACTTCACATTTAAACAGACTTCTTTTTTGGTTTACCTAAATAAATACAGTTATTTTAAAAGAAAACCTCACATCATGACCATAAGTGGGTAAATGGTATCATGTGTCATAAATAGAAGGTTAGTGTAGAAATCATTACAGAACGATTGACATAAATAATCTTTGTAGACAGGAGTAAAGATGCAGATGTAGAGAATGGACTTGAGGACACGGGGAGGGGGAAGGGTAAGCTGGGACGAAGTGAGAGAGTGGCGTGGACATATATCCACTACCGAATGTAAAATAGACAGCTAGTGGGAAGTAGCCACATAGCACAGGGAGATCAGCTAGGTGCTTTGTGACCACCTAGAGGGGTGGGATAGGGAGGGCGGGAGGGAGATGCAAGAGGGAGGGGATAAGGGGATACATGTATACATATAGCTGATTCACTTTGTAATACAGCAGAAACTAACACACCACTGTAAAGCAATTATACTCCAATAAAGATGTTAAAAAAAAAAAATCTTTGTCTGCCTGCCCCTCGAAGTCATCTTGAAAACCACCATGACGACCCTTATGAGCCTTGGACATGCTGAATTCCAGCCCAGCGGGGAGACGGATGGATTTAGGCCACATTCAGGAATACTCTAGAGTGGATGGTCTCAGACCACCAGGGTTCAGTTCTAATGCTACCTACTCTGCGGTTTTTGCAGGTGATTTGTCTTCTTGGTTTCATCAGCTCTAAGGTAGGGCTCACAACTGGTTATGGATAGAACAACGGCCGTGAGATTGCCATGAGAGCCGTGGAGTACCGTCCAATCTTACGACTGCTATTTTCGTAAGCACTCGCTGGGGGGTCTCCTCTGGGTCCAGCGGGATAGCTGGCGTGAAACATGCCAGCAGCTTCAGGGGAGGTTTAGAATGACTGGCCTCCTTTTTGCCATCAGCCAATGTCAGGCTAGGAGAAGGCAAGCTGCTCTGGGAGGGGAAATAAGATCTCTCTCTTTCTCCACAGCAGAGAGGACAGACATGGATTTTATGTAGCTGCAGTAGGAGAGACTCTGGTTAGACCCTTAGAAGAATGGTTTCTGTGAATGCTCATTGCTCATTCAATTCACTGGAAGATATTAATGTACTTCTCAGCATTAAGCTGGGGCCCTTTCCTATTGATAGGCTGAGCTACTGGGAAAGCTGCCAGCTCCCCGGGGACGTGTTGCCCGCCAGGGTCTTTCCCTTGGCCCGCCTCTGAGCACAATCTCCATCTTGGGAGACTTGACTTGGTTGGAGGGATTGAAGCTCCATGCTTGGTAGGAGAAGACATCACGGGCCCCCCCTGAACTTCCTTTCCTTGGATTAAAGGGGTGGAAAGGAAAGAGGACTGGGACCCTTTTGTGAGATACTCCAGGCTCATCTCCTATCAGACTCCAGTGGGCCCTCGAGACATCACCAGCTCCATTTCCTCCGTCACTCAGCTGTCTCACCAAGGGTGAAGCTGAGGCCAGAGTGGAAAGGCACTTTGCCAAGGTGGCTCAGCAGGCCGGGGGAGAGGTGACACTGACTGCTGACTCCTGACTCTTAGCGTGTGTGTGCCCTCCTCCAGCCCTCCTCCAGCTGGCTCTCAAGCAGGGGCCTGGGATCTGGTCATTGTTATTTGGGGGCAAGCCCTGGGGTGGGCACTGGCCTGGGGTGTGATCAGGGTGGGCATATCCGGGGCACAGCTTCAGCCACTAGAGGCCGTGCAGACTGAACTCTGCTTACGTAGGAAAAGAACACGACAGACCGAGCAGGTGTTTGGGGGCGGCTGGGTCTCGGGTCCTCTGCTTTGTGACTTGGGGGCATCACCCACCTCTTCCCTTTACAGATGAGTTTCCACATCTGTCAAGTTATGATAATTATGCTTTTCTACTGAAGTTAAAGAAGAGACATGCACAGCCTCTGGGGCAGTGCCGACCACATTGTAAATGCTGAATAAATGAATGATAACTCTTAGCTGTGGCCTGGTTACAGGAACGAGCCCCAGGTCCCTGCATCCTGCAATGAACCGAGGCTTGGTCCACATTGGAACAACCACAGTGCCGGGCCGGGTAGAAAAGTATTTAAGGCTAACAGCCCAGTGCCTAACATCTTTTTGAATTTTGAAGGCTTCTCTTCTGTAGGTATGGAGCAGCTTTCTCTCTGCCTGAGTGCAGCTGGGTCTTGGAGACCCAGGAACAGATGAGAAATGGCCAGGAGACACTTACCCGGGGGCTGGTCGTGCGGGGGTCTCTCCGGCCCAGAGTCTACAGCTGCTGCTTGCCCGGTGCCCTGTCCGCCTGCCCCTTCTGGCCTGGCTGCACCACTCCTCTGAGCCGGCCTCTTTAAGATCTCCTCGATGGAGAAGGACAGGCCCCGCTTCTCTGGGGCCTCACAGCACCCCGAGCTCTTCCTCTCCATCCCCCCATGGAGAGCCGGGCCAGCCTTGGCACCCTCCGCGGGCGGCTGCAAGGGGGGCAGAGGGGCCTATGCCAGTGGAGGGTGGCGTTCTTCCTTTCCCGAAGCTCCTGGAATCAAGAGGGTGAGCAGAGGTGGATCCTTGTGTGGGATTATCCAAGCAGGGTTATGTCTCCATGGGGACTTCCATGGGTCACCTCAAAACACCCTGGGATCAAGGAGGCAGGTCACGTCGGGAACACTGGAAGGGGCTGAACCCCGTGCCCAGGGGCTCAGAGCCCTCGCCAGCTCCATGTCAAGGGAGTCACCATAGCCAAACTGGGTTCAGTCCTACTGCAGCGAGTCTTCTCCAGGGTGGTCACCTGCACAATCCCCAGTGTAGGCCGGGGACCCCGAGGTCACGGACAGTGGGGAACACGGCAAAGAGCTGGAGGGAGGAGGGAGCCTGCCCCAGGGAGATCTGGAGGTAGGGTGTCCACCTTTGCCCTTTCTCTGGCTGGTGGCCCTTTCCGCTGGCTCCAGCCAGGCCCCTGGAAGACTGGGGTGCCACCGGCGGGCCCCAGGTGCCCAACTCAGCCCTGGGCCACAGTGCAGCTGGAGGGGCGCTCCCAGAAACCCTCCTGGGTTTCTCTTGCTTCCGCTGCTCCCAGACTCCAGAGTAGACCTTCCAGAGTAGCCGTGCTTTGGCTGCCCTGCAGATGGAGGCTTTGGAAGGGGGTCACTGGGTCACCACTGCCAGGCTGGCTCTCTGTGACGGGGCTGCGCTGAGTACTGGTGTCTGAGTCTCCCCTGGCGTCTCTGGTCCGACCATCGCTTTCTTCCGTTCTCTCCCTGACTTCACTGCACAAGCCTCTCTATCGGCTCCGGGCCCGGGGTGCCTCTCCCTTCCTTTTGGGGTCCTTTCTGCGCCCCCTCCTATTTGCATGCCTCTTACTTGCCTCCTGAGACTGCACTGAAGGGGCACCTTCTCTTTGTCCAGGAAACTGTCCCCTGGGAGCTGATAGGCACCGACCCGTCCTTGCCAGGAGTTCTGTTCGCAATTACTGTGTAACCAGGGAGGAGGAGAAGACGGCTGATAAGAGAGGAAACTCTCCACCCTCTTTACAGCCAGGGATGCAGGTGTTGGGGGAAAGGGGTAAGAAGCAGAGGGAAACTGAAGGGTGGGGATTGGGGGTCCCGGGGAGGTGTGTGCAGGGGAGCTGGCCAGGCCGGAGCAGGACAAGGGAAGGTGGGAACAGCATGGCCAGGAAGTGTCCCCAGGCCCCATAACATATGTTTACTCAGCAGGGAGAATTTATGGATCACACGTAGGCTGGAGGGGTGTGGTCTGCTTGGTGTTGGCCGAGGGCAGTCCCTCTAAGATGTGCTGTCCTGGGCTTGCAAATATCAGAGCGAGAGGGGTCTCCTGAGGTCCTTATGGGGTGTGTGGGGAAACTGAGGCCCAGACCACCGCACAGTCTCATCTAAGCAGGCCTTTGGGGAGCTCCAGGGTGCCAGGCTGGCCACAAGGTGCCATCTGCATGAGGGTGACAGATACCCTGGGAGAGACTGGGAGCATGAATGGGGCATTAGAATCCAGACCTTCTCTCGGAGGGAGGGGGAAGGGGAAGGCCGATCCTTACTCCCTGAGGAGGGCGAGTCAGAGCAAAGAGCATCTGTCCTGTTTCAGGAGCCGTGGCCTTGGGAAGGCTCAGGTGGTCTGGTCTAGCTTGGGGAGACTGCCACCGCTGCTGGTCTAGCTCGGCGAGACTGCCACCGCTGCAGTCACAGGTAAATGCCCAAATCTTGGGAGCTTCACTGCTTACTCATGTCACAGTCAGTGTAGTTGAACATCCCTTTGGGAACCCAGGCTCCTTCCAGACTGTGATGCTACCCGGATTCAGGATTTCCAGGGAAGTGGAGAGAGCAGAGGAGGGAATGGTAATGAGTCAGCAGTGGAAGCAGTTAAGTGACTTCTGTTCATATTCTGTGACCAGAATGAGTCATAAGGCCTTGTCTAGGTGCTGGGAAGGGGACTTCTCGTCTGGGCCAGGAGGAAAGTAGCCCAGCTGGGTTGGTGCACAGGGAAATGCCTCCTTTACGGCCAGGTGGCCAGAGTCCCACAGGAGTCAAGCCCCCTGTTGGCGGCCAAAGGAGTTGTTGCATTGGGAGGGTGGGTCTCCTTCTGCTTGGGGCGGAGAAGGTGTGATGGACACTTGTGGCGGCCGGTGAGGAGGGGGGACAGGGACTCCAGGGGCTGAAGCAGCAGAGGGGAGGGAGGGCCTGGAGTCAGGCGCTGTGCACACGCTGCCTCATCTAATCCACCCAACAGCCCTATGAACTGCGGTCACTCACGCCATTTTACAGCTGAGGAGATGCACCCAGAGGTGAGTGGCGGCTTACAGGGCTACGCAGCTAACCCGTAGAAGAAGCAGCAGTCAGACCCAGGTGAGTCCAGTTCTGAAACCCACACTCAGCTCCCTTTGCCATAATCCCCAGAGACCATCCGGTCCAGACTTCTCACCGTGCAGGTGAAGAACCACATCTCAGAGACAGAAGTTTCCAGAGTCACACCTGTTCTTTTCAGCACCTCATTTGAGTTCCTTGTATTCTCTCTCTCTCTCTGGGGTGAGCCTCACCCTGGGCTCTTGTGGTGTGGACCTGGACACTCGCTCTCCTTCCAGACCATCACCCCCATGGTGAGCCACAGCCTGGGCATTCCCACGTGTGTTCATTCCCACAGATGTTTCTTGAGTATCTACTATGTGCCACTCGCTAGATGGCACATAGAGATACAGATGAATGAGCCACAGACCCTGCCCTGAGGGACACACACTCTAGGTTGGGGAGTGTGTCGGGGAGGGGAGAAGATGGCGGCAGACAGGCCAGTGAGTGGCAAAGTGGTCACTTTGGTGGAAAGTGGTCAGTGGTCAGTGACAGAGGAGTTCAGAGGAGTAACTGTGCAGCTCTTTGGATCAAAGAAAGCTTTGACGCGGAGGAAGGAGAGAAGGGGAGCCGTCACACAAGTTCCCTCAGTCTACCCTAAAACACGCAAGCAAGGAAAGACACTTGGCTGCATGGTGCACTGTTACTAGTTCATTGATGGGAGAGAGATTTTATGTTATGCAGAGGCATTTAGGAAGAACATGCTGGAGAGGTATGTTGGAGCCATCTGTTCATTTATATGTCCATCCATTTGCCATTTTCAACAACAAGGCTGGTCTTGGAGGGTAGTACGTGAAGCGAAATAAATCAGAGAAAGTCAAATACTGTATGATTATCACTTATAGGCAGAATCTACAAAATAAAACTAACTAGTGAATATAACAAAAAAGAAACAGGCTCACAGATATAGAGAACAAACTAAGGGTTACCAGTGGGGAGAGGGCAGGGGAGAGGGGCAAGATAGGGGAAAGGGATTAAGAGGTACAAACTACTATGTATAAAATAAATAAGCTACAAGGATGTATTGTACAACACGGGGATACTGCCAATATTTAATAATAACTATAAATGGAATAGAACTTTAAAACATTGTGAATCACTATGAAGCATATAATATTGTACATCGACTATAACTCAATAAAAAAATGTTTTTAAAGGACCCACAATGATGTACCACACTGTGATTGCAGTGCTGGAAAGACAGCTGTGATCAAAACAGACAAGCCCGCCTCTTTTCATGGAGCTTACACTGGAAGTAGATAATAAACAGGTAATGAATAAATGTCCAATGATGTATTTTCCATTTGTGACCATGTTATAAAGAACACAAAACAGGATGATGAGCTGGAGAGCAACCAGGTGAGGGAAGGTACTTTAGTTTTTTCAGATTTGACTTTTATTCCACAGGTGACACAGAGCCGTGGGTGTTTTTGTGAGCGATGGTTCATGAACCCGACTGTAGGGCTAAGGGGAGCATCCACCGGGGATTTGAATAAGTCAGAGATGAGTTACAGGCTGTGTGTGTTGGTGTCTGGGGGGAAGTGTGTATCAGGATGGGCTCTGTTGCAAGTAACCAAACACCCAACTTGAAGTGGCTTAAACGGTAGGGGTCTGTTAGCTCACAGGAGAATATTTGTAGGTAGGAGGCTCCAGAGCTTGTTCATTTGGGCGCAGTAACAATGCCGAGGGGGGGCACTTTCCGTCTTTCTCCTCTGCCATCCCCAGCGCATTGGTTTTGTCTTTGAGCTTGTCCCCGCGTGGCTGGGGATGGCCTCTGCAGCTCCAGGCTTTATGGCTTCACACACTCATCCCAAGGCTGCAGGGGAAGACTGGCCTTTTCTCACTCTTTTCATCACAGAGGAAGACATTTTCCAGAAACCTCCAAGTGGATTTCCTTTATTCCCCTTGGCCAGGACTGTGACACGTGCTCACACTTAAACCCATCGCTAGCAGAAAGAGTGAACCAGCCATGGGGATCTCATTATTCACCGTTCGCTCCCTGGGACGCTGCAGTGGGGCCGCCTGCTGTCATCCCTCTGCTGCTCCGTTTCTGGATAAAACCAGGGGCCCGTTGGGCAGCAAGAAGGCAGGTCATTTATCGCTGTAGCGGGGATGAGCCGCAGTGCGTGTGTGGCAGATCTAGTGGGTTTTGCTTTGGGATGTTGTGTCCGGAAAGGTGTGTGACCACGTGTTCTGGGGATGGGGGCTGTTCTCAGCAACGTGCACGTTGACTAATTCCCTCCTAAGATGCGGGGAAAGAAGGAAGAGAGGAAGGCAGGAGGAAACAGCACTCCTCCGGTCCTCCCCTCCTGGTTACCCTTGAATGTACTCACATTGTTCATAGCTGGACCATTTCCTAAGTCCTCTTCATATTGGTGTGTCTGATGTTTGCAGCCTCCACAGAAAGTGGAAGTGACTCTCCCTGTTGTGCAGTCAAAGGGACTGAAGCCTGAGGAGGGAAGGGACTCACCCAAGGTCTGACCAGCGAGGCAGAGTCCCAGCTTGAACCCAATCCTTCTATGACCCATCCTAACCTGTTTGACCCCTGCACCCCCATGCTGCCTCTTTGAGTTATTTCAAAATTCTGGGTTTTAAGAAGGAACTCCCCAGAAAGTTTCTGTATGGAGACCTCAATGGGTTGGTGGCTGAGAGGTTTGAGGTTGGAGGTGGGGGGGTCCCATTCTATTCTCTCCAGAGCAATTTTTCAGGGTCTAGACTTCTGTGCATCAGGGATTCTGTGGGCTACTTTATATAGGCTGAGGGATCGGGACAAGAATATAAAGATGGCCCATCATGGGATGGCCTGGTGAGAAGATCAGGAGTTCTCAGTGGACCCCTGTCCTTGCACTATTTGTACTTGAGACTTGGCATTTGACGTGGTCTCTTGGGGGAACTGAGATGCTTAGAACTGACATTTTGAGCTTGTGTTTGATTCTTTTTCACCCTGGGTTCTGTTGAGAGCATTCAAAGCCCTTCGGTAGTCTGCCGGGTCTTTATGTTCCCTTACTTGGGAATGACAACTTGTCATTCCAGGCAGGCTGGGCATATGCTATAGGTGCCTTAAAATGGAGAGTGGAGGTACTCAGTGCACAGGACAGAACACAAGGCTCTTTCCTTTCTGCATTTGGTAACCAGAGGGGCTGGACCTGGTTTAAAGTTGATTCATATCTCTCTGGTCAGGTATGTGCAGTCTGCTTGGACCTTGGGTTGTGTGTGATGGTCAAAATCCTCTATATGTATAACTGAATCCCTTTGCTGTACACCTGAAACTAACACAACACTGTAAATCAACTATATCCCAATATAAAATAAAAATTAAAAAAAATCTTCTTTAATTACCTTTAGTCATGTATTATAGTTTTCAGGGTAGAGGTTTTTCCACATCTTTTGTTGTATTTATTTCTAAGTGGTCTATGTTACTTTTAGCCTCCACTGTAAGTGGAATTGTTTTGTTAATTTCATTTTCCAAATGTTTGTTGTTCATATATATAAAAATATAACTTTTCTATATTGAAGAAAAAATAGAGTCAGTCATAATAACCTCAGAAGACCAGTATATCAATATTGGCACAGGGCTTGCAGGGGTTAGCTTGAACCACCTTGATTACCTATAGATCATATCTCCTGTAGACAGCTGTATCAAGCCGAGAGGCAGTTCGTCACCAACGGATTTATAGGGTCTAGTGTTTCTGAGTATTAGTGCATGGCATGGATCTGGGAACTTTTCCACTCAGTGCTTCATTCAGCAAACATTCATTTGGTGCCTACTATGTGTCAGATACTAGGCTAAGGAGGAGGAATATATTAAGACCAACGTGACTCCTGTCCAGATAGGGTTATGATCAGAGAGGGGACATGATAAGCAAGCAGCCAAATAGATATTGCAAATTATGGTAAGCAGTTTGAAGGAGAGAGTGCTGTCAATTGTATTACAGTGAGCTGGTCTTATTTTTTTACGATGTTTAGGAAGGTGATGTTCAGACAGGGACAAAGTGATAATATCCATCCCACCTCAACCAAAGGTATGGCCAGGCCCGTTAGAACTCATGGTTATACCTCAAAGGATGGGGGCATTTCAAACAGAGGAATGGAATTTTCAAATTGGTTGAAGTTGCTTTTCTGAGAATCTCTTGAAATGCCGTGAAATGCCTTGGGTTTTACCCCTCACCCATTATCAACGGAGTTGCCGGTAAATGAAAACTGGCTTTGCTGGCTCAATGTGGATTTTGTCATTGTAGTTCTTGGTTTGATAAAGGCTGTCAGAAAGGAAAAAGAAAATAAATGAACTAAGAAATAAAAACAATTCTTAAACTGTGACCAAGGAAGTGAGTTGATGTATGAAGAGGAGTTTGGAGGCTTATTAGAGTTATAATAAAATTTAAACCTTGCTATGCCATGGTGGTGCATCTTGCCGGGGCTTCGTCCCCAAGGATGTGATTCAGGGGATGATGACTGGTCCTCAGCATTGAGATGAACACGTTAGCACTGGGTAAATCCTATGTGGCAAGTTTTCCCTCTCTAGAATTGGAAGAAATGACTGTTTCTTTTTTTTTTTTTTTTTTGCGGTGCGCGGGCCTCTCACTGCCGCGGCTTCTCCCGCCGCGGAGCACAGGCTCCAGACGCGCAGGCTCAGCGGCCATGGCTCACGGGCCCAGCCGCTCCGCGGCACGCGGGATCTTCCCGGACCGGGGCACGAACTTGTGTCCCCTGCATCGGCAGGCGGACTCTCAACCACTGCGCCACCAGGGAAGCCCGAAATGACTGTTTCTTTAGGTAAGTTCTAGATGGGGCGGTTGGCTTGTAGGGTTTATGTTGTATGGAAATAAGACATCTTTAAACTCTTGACTCCCACTGTCGTGGTGAGATGAAAGACTCAGGGAAAGGACAGATTGAGACCCATCTCACCACCCAGGCTACAGCTTAGAACCCCCTGGGGGGAGCTTTCACAAAATTCTCCATGGCTCAGCCCCACCCACACCAGTATGTCAGAATCCCTTGGCGAGGAAGATCGTGTACAACTCAATCTTATTTATTAATTTATTAATTTATTTTTGCCTGTGTTGGGTCTTCGTTGCTGTGCGCAAGCTTTCTCTAGTTGTGGCGAGCGGGGGTTACTCTTCGTTGCGGTGCGCAGGCTTCTCATTGCGGTGGCTTCTCTTGTTGTGGAGCACGGGCTCTAGGCACGGGCTTCAGTGGTTGTAGCTTGCAGGCTCAGTAGTTGTGGCGCACGGGCTTAGTTGCTCCGCAGCATGTGGGATCTTCCCGGACCAGGGCTTGAACCTGTGTTCCCTGCATTGGCAGGTGGATTCTTAACCACTGGGCCAACATGGAAGCCCCTACAATTCAATCTTAATAAATGCTTATGGGAGAAGAGATGCTGGGATACGGTTCCCCTTAGCAGGGATCTGGAGTGTGGGTTCTGAAGACCAGTTCTGAATTGATGCCCTAAATCAGTGCTTCTCAAAGCTCAGTGTGCGTCCACATTCCCTGGGAATCTTATTAAAATGCAGATTCTGATTTGTTCCACCTGGGCTGGAGCCCAAGCCTTGGCCTTTCTAACAGCTCCCAGGTGGATTCAGATGCACACCTGGGGTAGCCAAGCCCTAGATGATATGTGGAATTAAGCACCATGACACTGGAGAAGCATTTCCTTAGAGTAGGGCTCTCAACCTTGGCTGAATATTCATGTCACCTGGGTGAGTTTTATGAAATACCCATGCTGGGGCTCTACCCCTAGAGAATCATTCAACTATTGGGGGATGGGCCTGGGCATCAGCTATTTTTAAATGTTTTCCAAGTGATTTTAATGTACAGCTAGGTGTAGGAGCCTCTGCTCTAGAGGATTCTCTTTTTTTTTTGGCCGTGCACGGCATGCGGGATCTTAGTTCCCCGACCAGGGATTCAGTCTGTGCCCCTTACAGTGGAAGCACGGTGTCTTAACCACAGGACCACCAAGGAGGTGCCACTTAATAGAAATAAAATGCGTGCATGTTAGTTATCTATTGCTGTGCAATAAGTTACCCTAGACAATGTTTATGATGTCACATGGTTACTGAGGACCAGAAATCCAGGAGTGGCTTAGCTGGGTGATTCTAATACAGGGTCTTTCATGAGGCTGTAGTCAAGATGCCGATTTGGCTGCTGTTATATGAAGGTTGGACTGTGGCCAGAGGACCTGCTTCTAAGAAGGTTCATCCACATGGGTGTTGCCTGGAGGCCTTGGTTTCTCACTATGCAGGATCCTCCATAAGGCTGCTCACAAATTAGCAGCTAACTTCCTTTAGAGTAAGTGACGAGAGAGAAAGAGAGAGAGAGAGAGATGGAGAGATTGAGAAAGAGACCAAGGCAGAAGCAGCAGTGTCTTTTGTAACCTAATTTTGAGTGACATACCATTGCTTCTGATATATTCTACTAAAATAATACTGTAGTGTTTCTTTAAGGAAGCCATACAGGGCATGTGGTAAGGTGACATTCACCAACTTGTGAATTACTTGAACCCAGAAGATGCCTTGCATTCTGTAAACTGGTCATAGACAAGCATGTGGTGTTCACATTTAGAGATGCACACAAAAAGTTACATAAACATTGACATCATAATGATAAATGGACTTAAACAAAAATATTCTGTGGATCACACAGACCAACCCTGATATAGTGTGGGAGGGGGTCACAAGAGGGTGTGACTTATCAGGAAGAGGGAATCACTGGGGGTCATCTTGCAGACGGCTACCACAGTGTGCATGCAAGTAATTTAAAACGTTTTAGCAGTCACATAAAAAAATTAAAAAAAGAAAAGGTAGCATTAATTTTAATGATAAGTTTTATTTGCCCAACATATCCAAATATTATAATAATATAAATATAATCAATATAAAATTATTTTGCATTCTTTTTTATACTAAGTTTGAATTCTGATGTATACTTTACATTTACAGCTTATGTCTATTAGGACTTGCCCTGTTTCAAGCGTTCATTAGCAGAGTCGCTTATTTTCCTTAATTCTACAGGTAGCCTTGTCTGGGTGGACCCAGAGGGTAGATTATCCCACTTTGTAAAGGCTCATCCTCTATTTCCCCCCAAATGACAGACCTATTGGTTTACTTGCTATTCTAACAAAATCACCTGTCAATTTCCCCTTTTAGAAATGGCAAGTCTGGGTTTCTCTGGCTGATACTTTGTATGAAGAAGCCCTTGGGTTTTCAGCCTATTTATTCCACACGATTGACTTTTTTTATGCCACTGGTGCAAAAATCTGTCAGGAACAATATAAGAATTGCAGGAGCAATGACTGATTTTGACCTTTGACTCAGTGGAGAGAAACTAATTATGTGGAGAGAAACCAATTATGGGCTAACCTAGAAGTGCTGGTATTCATCCCCACCCTGCCACGGGCACTGAGACAGAATGTGCCCCTTAGCACCGCCTGAGGGCTGGCGTTGGGAGGAATCGTGTCCTGACGAAGCAGACCACGATTTCAAACAGAGCACAAGAGCCCTGTGCTCTGGTCCCCGCTCCCTCTAACGGGTGCTTTATGACTTGAAAGAATTTTTGGATGAGCTGAATGAGTTGCCCTTTGCTATGAGGAACAGAAAGTTGAAAGTCTTTTCTATGCAAATGACATGGTTTTATTGTCAGAAACCAGGAATGGCCTCATTACTGTCAGAAAAACTGGCTCAGGATGAACTGCTCCAACCCCCAATTGTCACTGTTGGCAGATGTCCTCCAACATCGAGTTGGCTTTTATTCAACAACCTGTGAATTGCATTCACTCATGTAGTCACTGAGGGCTACATTTTCGTACTCAGCCGTGTGCGGGACTCACCAGGAGGTGACACTTGCTTAACATTAGGTGTCTGTGGATGCAGCGTTAGGATTTCTCTAATGCCTTCTTGGGTGATTTGTAAAATGTACTTTGAAAAAAAACTTAAGCTAAAGTTATTATGGCTCAACTTGATGGACTTGGACATTATTTCTTGGTGTGGGAATAGATCCAGAGCTGTTCTCTTAAGGATTACAGCTTTCCACAGGCATCCCCACAAGCTTTCCTTCGGGTATTCCCACATGTATTCTCCCAGGTATTCCCACAAGTATTCCCACAGGTATTACAACAGGTACTCTCCCAGGGATTACCAGAGTGTTCCCATATGTATTCCCATAGGTAGTCCCACAAGTATTCCCACAGGTATTTCCATAGGTATTCCCACAGGCATCCCCAAAAACTTTCTTATTGGTATTCCCACATGTACTCTCACAGGTATTTCTGTAGGTATTTCCACAGGTATTCCCTCAAGTATTCCCACCAGTATTCTCAGAGGTATTCCCTAAAGTACTCCCACAGGTATTCCCACCAGTATTCTCAGAGGTATTCCCACAGGTATTCCTTTGGCCTCTCTCTGTGTAGAGGTAGGTCCACTTGATTGTTAATGCACATAGATCTTCCCTTAACTGGTAGCACAGTATGCCCGTGCCACAGGCCAGTTCTTACTCCAGATTGTAACTTCAAACTTGTCTGCTATCCACATTTCATCTCTACAGAGATGGAGGGAGAAGTCCTGGGAATTCCCCAGAGGAACTGGCTCTGGCTGAGGCTCACATGATGTTTCCTTAATGAGAACACACAGTTACATTCTTCTCAGACCACCAAGCCAGGAGAAAAGCCTGCTTCTCTTGAGCACCTGAGCAGCTATCTAATTTTCAGAATCACTGTCATCCTGACCACTTGTAGGTAGCCGTGTTTCTGTTTTCTCTGTGGCTCCTAGGAAGCTAAGTTTAGGTAGTCGTGTTTCTGTTCTCTCTGTGGCTCCTAGGAAGCTAAGTTTAGGTAGTCGTGTTTCTGTTCTCTCTGTGGCTCCTAGGAAGCTAAGTTAAACACCTCATTTGACCTCTTGGACCTTAGAGTGTGTTGGACTTCCTTTTCTTCACCCTGGTTTCTTCATCAATTCATTCCTTGAAAATATGTGCTGGGTTGTTCCATCCTCAAATAAACCTTCTCAACTCTTTTCCACAATGAGGCAGAGATGTAAATAAACGCTAGTGTGAAGGATGGAACAATCCATCTGTCATCCTAGAACAACTCCTGAGTATTGAGGACTGGATCCCAGGTCTCCTGACTGCCTCACTGGTGTTCTCCTGTCAGACCATGATCTGGGCACATGAGTTTAACAAGAAGAATTTAGCTTTTGTGGAAGCAACCCATTCCTGCTCCAACCGGTGGAAATCCTGGATAAAAATAACCACAAATTTCACACACAAGAGGGATCATAGCGTATTTATTTATTTTTTCGTCGTGTAAATGGAGCCAGGAGTGTCAGGTCAGGGCTGGGCTGGCAGACTCACTAACATTAGGGTCTACCTACCTTAGTGTCAGCTTCCATCCTCGAGCTGGCCCCACAGTCCAAGCTGGCTGCTGGGGCTCCGGACATCAAGTTCACATTTCAGGTAGAAGGGAAGAAGGACCAGTCTCTTAGCTTGGTCAGCCCCCTGTCAAGAGGCTTTCTGGAAGGAAACTCATCCAGTGACTTTCTCTTTCATCTCATTAAGCCTCCTCTCTTAGCTGAACGTGGGACTAGG